AACGGATTCACCCAAAAACTCCAATGAAAGGCTATAATTGCGTTTTTTTTTTCAATTTATCGTAAGTATGCCATTTGCATTTCCCGTAATTGAAGTGTACCTTTGCTTTATGTTTCAACTGATATCTGTTATTCTACAATGTCCATCAATGATTGTTCCATTCAACTATAATAATTGGCCTTCTTATAAGAGGTATGTACATTTTAGTTTATCAAGAAGGAGTGGGTTACCTTTTTGATTTTCTTTTAGGGTTTTAATTGTAGGGTTCCAGTGTTAGTCCAAAATCTAGTTTTAATGGACCAGCTTAAGTTTTGAAGAGGTTTGAGATTTGATAGCGAGTAAAGTCACTAGATATAGAAAGTACCGTAATCATCCGCCATTTTTGGGCAAATTTGCTGCCAACTTAAAAAAATTGACAAATAAAATCTGAATAGCTGTCATTTTTTATAACCTAACTTTTATAAAAATATATACAGATATCTCAATGAATAAAGAATACCTATTCATTGAGATATCTCCAAACAGGTGGAACAATCCCTAACATTAAACTTACTAGAATCTGGTAACTTCCGCCATTTTTGGGCAAAAATTATGCGTTCTCTCTCTAACACACGAGCCCAATGGATTGCGATACTTTCTATATTTAGTGTCTTTAATAGCGAGATAGGAGATGCTCCATCTATTTTTAGGGCATGGTACTGAAGATTCGATCAAATTGAAACAAGAAATGGATTTCTGAAGCAGCTTTTCTCAAGGTAATTTTCCAAGGCAAAATCTTCTTTTTTTCTCCTTGCCCCTTCGCCCTCTCTGTCATTCATTAGTATTGGATTTTGAATGATGGTATTTTTCAGGTCTCAATTTAGTAAATGTCTCACGGACATTATCCAACAAAGTGAAGTCCCTTTGGATAAATCAAGGACTGTTGCAACTCCACAATAACTTGCAACACTAAATGCAAATCCAAGAAGTACCTGTGTAACAAGAAAGATTTGCTCTGGAACTGTCACAAATCTCTACCTTGCTGTAATAAATGATAAATCATTTCTATATAGTTTTTTTTTTAATTAGCACAGGGTCTACTACCTAATAACACAGATTATTGTAGTTAATCTGTGCAGTGCACCGCTTCCTTGCAAAAAGTCAACGCTTGTTGACTCAAGGCAATAATACTTTCCCTAGGTACAGTCAATTGTGACTAATATAGTAAATGTTAATCAAAATTCCACTTTTCATCAACTTTTATTGAAAATATCAGTAAGAGTCAAGTTTACCTATGTAGGTAGAGTCAACTCTTACTGGAGAATTTACTTTTCCTGTAACATATATGCTTATTACGGTAACCTCTACGGAGGTTCTCATGTGCACAGGCCTAACGGCCCATGTACACCCAAAAGCCATTCTACATGTCTATAGACATACAGTGGCCTCTTCGCTTATTCGCTCAATGTGCCTTTTCCAGATCAGGCGGAAGTCTATATGATGAGTGACCAGAGGCGGATTTAGCAATTTGCCGCCTATGGGCCAGGCCTGATTTGCCGCCGTAGCAAGTACCAAGGGGTGGGGAGAAGGGGGGGGGTGAAAAGGTAGACCCCTTTGGGTATAGTAACAAACGAAGGAAATATAATGTATAATGTATTAACATACATAAAACATGAAACAATGTCTTTCTTTACATTTTACAATAGCTTCCTTCTGGATTGGCTTTTGGCAAAAGTGTTTATTATGTCGTCAAAGTCCAATTTCTTCGTCAGATCAGATTCTATTGTTAAGACCGCCTGCCAATTCAGACGATTGTTGCTCATGTTTGAACGAAGGTAGCTTTTCAATCGTTTCATCACAGAAAACGACTTTTCGGCCGAACAATTAGATACTGCCATGGTTAAGATAATTTCTAAGCAGATATCCACATACGGGTAGAGTTCTCTCAGACCGCGATCATTAATCATTTTATGAAGATCGGCGAATGTTTTGCGGTGCTCGTCATCTACCACAGGTTGCACCATGACTGGTATGCGTAAGTCGTAAACATTAAAATTACTGAAAATATATTATGCTATGATCCCACAGAAGTCGTTGGAAATTGCAAGAGGCTGAGACAAAATTCGGGTAAATTCGCCAACGCTCGCCGCGCCGCAGTCGGCAGTGCCGAGAGTTACAACAACTACTACTACTACCATACCACCACATGCCACACAACATCTGTGCTACTGTTACTAGTAGTAGGCTATTACTGTACAATTGCACATGCAGTAAGTACCGAGTACGTTGATTACGCACGCACTTTCTTTGACTACTACATTGTGGCAATTTTTTTCAGAACAAAATCTTAATTATAAGGTTGGTAAAACGGAAGGTATTGTCTTTGACAACGCAATTTTTTATCCATGATTAATTAAATACACGAAAAAAAACGATTTTTTCCGTTTTTGCCGCCCTTTAAAATCTGCCGCTCTGGGCCATGGCCCGTCCGGCCCATCTGTATAAATACGCCACTGTGAGTGACCCATCATATCCACTATCTTTGTGTTTGTAAATAGAACAACCTTGATCTTTCCCAGGTTAACGGAGAGGTCAAGGCTAGTATCCACCCTAGGGGGGAAAACTTTGATTTTTTGGTGTACATCCCTCTGTCCTCATTCAGAGGCCAAGAACTGGAACTCATCTCTGTATCCTCCCAACAGTACCAGTGGGCAGGCATACTCCTCTCCAGCCTACACACGAGGATATGAAGAATCCCCATGAACAGCTTTCAGGGATATGCCCTAAAGCCAGGGCGAGGTTTTAAAGAGGTGCAACAAATGTAAGAGCAGTCGTTCCAGGCCCTTCTGTAGAAGAGCAGGAAATATCCTTGAATTTTGCAATGCACCAATAATACTTTTCTAAATACCCATACACCATGTTATCTATATGTCACAACATATTGATTTATCTATGTATACTTATAGTTAACAACAGGGCGACCACAATTTCCTTGTTTATCTCCGTCACCGATAACAATAGGTCAAGTGCTTAAGATAAAAGCGCAACAGTCAACAGGAATATTCATCGATAGAATGGAACCGATTGTCTTAGTGCACGGTGGTGCAGGTGACATCCCAGCGTCCAGGGTGCCATTAAAACTATCGGGATGTAAGAAGGCGGTTAACGACGGTTACAAGGTACTCGCGGCGCATGGCTCCGCACTGGACGCCGTGGAAGCTGCCGTTCGCGTTATGGAAGATGATCCAGCTTTTAACGCCGGTAATAGAACCTACAATGATTGATCACGCCCCATTTACAAATTTTTCAGGCTATGGATCTGTGCTAAACCTTGACGGGGAAGTCGAAATGGACGCGAGTGTAATGGTAGGTGATAGACTCGAAGCAGGCGCCGTTACCATAGTTAAAGACGTTGCGCATCCCATCAGCCTGGCGAGACTAATTATGGAGAAGAGCCCTCACGTTTTGTTGGGGGCGGATGGAGCCAAACGTTTTGCCATTAATCATGGCGTACAAATATTGCCACCCGGGTCTTTGGTTACCGAGCAGGCGAAAGAGGCTTTAGCGTACTTTAAAAAGCATGGAGGGGACTTCACAGAAATTGGATGTGATAGGAAGGTATGTACCACTCAATTCCCCACACTGATCTAAACCTAGAGCCTTGCAGAAAGGGGAAGTGGGAACGGTGGGAGCCGTCGCGATCGATTCTAATGGATTACTGGCGGTTGCTACATCAACTGGAGGTATTTCGGGAAAATTACCGGGGCGGTGCAGCGATACTTCTCAAATTGGTGGCGGTTCGTATGCAGACAATTGCTATGGTGCCGTATCGACCACAGGTAGTATTTTTTGTGAGGCGCTTAATCTACTTGTTAAGTAGGGTATGGGGAGGCAATACTTCGATTTTGTTTGGCTCATGCTGTCGTTAAGGAAATTGCGAGTGGAAAAACGGCTCAGAGAGCTACTGAAGATGCCGTAGAAGCGATGACGAAACAGTTTAATAAAACTGCAGGTAAGGGCCTTTTTATTGGAGTTGCATTATCTCTGATCATTTTTGTTATTTTGCTTAAGTTGGGAGATTCTAAGTCGATATCTGTTACCTCGAATTCTCGTACATAATTTGAGACAGAACACACATTTCGCTATAGAAAGCTCTTGATGAGACTCGGCTGGTTTTTAACTTTTTCGGAGAACTTGCGATATCGTAATGTAACGGTAGCATGGTAGGAGTCATTTGTTTCTTTCTGTGATTTGGTAAACTTCCTGGGACGTTAATTTGCTTATTGGAAAAGAGAAGAATTTTGTTTGGGTTGGAATTTTCTGAAACGTTAATTTTTATTAGAGTTAGTTTTTAGTGACGTAACGGAAGCAGACCCCAAAACAGAAGACAAAATATTTTTTGCGGAAGCGGACGCAGAAACGGAGGCGGAAGTATAAATACTAAAATAAAAACTAGAATAATTGTTGCGGCGAAGTAAAGAAACGAAAGTAGACAAAGACAAATAAATCGCGCACGTCTGACGATTGGCACGAATGACAAACGCCGCCGTCCCGTTCGCCCAATCAGAGCGCTCCTTGTCCTGTTTGGTATACTTTGGTTTTCAAATTTGCGGAAGCGGAAGCAGAGGTCTGTTGCATCAGTACTAGTTTTAACCTTAAAGGAGAGGTATACTGGGTGTCAACGAATCTATTAGACAAGGCATAATTTCTGGAGTAGGTAGTAGGTGTATCAAAATGAGATTTGGTACAGGTAAATGGTACATGAAGAGTTTTCGCATATTTTTCTTTTTCCGCTCACTTCCGGTTTCATCGGAAATGGTACAGGTTTTGAGTTTTTAAGTGGAGCTCCCTGTGCATATTTTTACACAGAGCTGGGCAGAATACTTTCAAAAAGTACATATTTGAATACCTACTAAATAGTAAATACACAAATCAAAGGTATTTGAATACTAAATACTTTTACGTCCAGCACACGCGAATACTAGATACAGATACATTGAAAAGTATTCAAATACTTAAAAAAATAAGTATTCAAAAACTTTAGAATACACTGCCTTTTTTTGAGGCCCGCAAAAAAAATTGTCTCAGATCGACCCAGAAAAAAATTTTTCTTATAGAATGTGGCCTGTAGAATCCATTATTTCAAACAGTTCCAAGATTGGGCTACTAGTTCAAAAGTTACAGCCGTTTGCATTTTTTTTAGAAATTGGTTTCTAGTCTATAACTTTTGATTGAAAAATATAATCGAAAAAGTACGAATTGTTTTGGATTCTACGCACCAAAATTAATAAGAAAAAGTGTTTTCCCGAGAAATTTTGGTGCAATCGATTTTTGGTAAAAAAAAGGAAGGTTATACACTGCCTTTTTTTGAGCCCCGAAAAAAAATTGTCTCAGATCGACCCGGAAAAAAATTTTCTTATAGAATGTGGCCTGTAAAATCCATAATTTCAAACAGTTCCAAGATTGGGCTACTATTTCAAAAGTTACAGCCCTTTGAATTTTCTTTCGAAATTGGTTTCTAGTCTATAACTTTTGATTGAGAAGTCTGATCGAAAAAGTACGAATTGTTTTGGATTCTACGCACCAAAATTAATAAAAAAAAGTGTTTTCCCGAGAAATTTTGGTGTAGTCGATTTTTGGTAAAAAAGGAAGGTTATACACTGCCTTTTTTTGAGGCCCGAAAAAAAAATTGTCTCAGATCGACCCGGAAAAAAATTTTCTTATAGAATGTGGCCTGTAGAATCCATAATTTCAAACAGTTCCAAGATTGGGCTACTAGTTCAAAAGTTACAGCCCTTTGATTTTTTTTTCGAAATTGGTTTCTAGTCTATAACTTTTGATTGAGAAGTCTAATCGAAAAAGTACGAATTGTTTTGGATTCTACGCACCAAAATTAATAAGAAAAAGTGTTTTCCCAAGAAATTTTGGTGTAGTCGATTTTTGGTAAAAAAGGAAGGTTATACACTGCATTTTTTTGAGCCCCGAAAAAAAAATTGTCTCAGATCGACCCGGAAAAAAAATTTTCTTATAGAATGTGGCCTGTAGAATCCATAATTTCAAACATTTCCAAGATTGGGCTACTAGTTCAAAAGTTACAGCCCTTTGAATTTTCTTTCGAAATTGGTCTATAACTTTTGATTGAGAAGTCTGATCGAAAAAGTGCGAATTGCTTTGGATTCTACGCACCAAAATTAATAAGAAAAAGTGTTTTCCCGAGAAATTTTGGTGCAGTCGATTTTTGGTAAAAAAGGAAGGTTATACACTGCCTTTTTTTGAGGCCCTCAAAAAAAATTGTCTCAGATCGACCCGGAAAAAAAATTTTCTTATAGAATGTGGCCTGTAGAATCCATAATTTCAAACAGTTCCAAGATTGGGCTACTAGTTCAAAAGTTACAGCCCTTTGAATTTTCTTTCGAAATTGGTTTCTAGTAGGGAATGCAATCCCGCAGCAAAATCTCAATCCCGGTATTTGCGGGATTGTTAGATGTTAATCCCGCGGGATCCCGGAATTTGCGGGATCTCGCAAAACTTTAAGTAAATTGGCAAATAAGCAATTCTGTGCGGTTAACTTCTGTATTAAAATAAATCGCTAATTTATTATCACAATATTTAACAACGAAGTACCTTCGGCCTAACTTAGAACTCAAAAAAAACCTTACCTATAAAGCACAAAAGTCTTCTAAAGTGCCTCAAAAATCATAGTTTATTTTTAACGAAAAAGTTTAACAATTATTTAAAAAATAATTCGCCGTTATCAGTTTCATTAACAAAGTAAACAGAGTCGTCCCCTTGGTCGACAAATTCCTCAGTCCCGCAAATCCCGCGGGATCCCGCTTCATTTATGTGCGGGATTAATCTCGCAAAAATGCTGCGGGATCCCGGTATTTCGGGATCCCGGTATACTATTATTATTATTCGCGTCAATTTTAGACAGACCATAGAATCTGAAACAGTAGCATATTCCATGTGGCATATATTGACTAAAAGCTCTTAAAAATTTTTCTTTGTACGTATATATGCGAATAGGTAGAATTTCACTAAGGGATGGTTTGGGTGAAAATATTATCTATTGTGTTTTGCATGTGAGAAGTTAGGGATGGTGATAATTGCACTGACTTAGTAACCGTTTTGTCCGCATCTTTAAAACGGTAAATCTGAACGTCATTTCAGTGGCACATATCACTAGGGTTTGTGAAGAGCTTTTCTTTAGATGGGTGCGGTTTAGAAAAAGGGAAATAAATTAAAATCATGGTGAAATTGTGTCTCTTTCGGTGGTCATATATTTAATGAAAACCGCATGATGATATAATATTTCATTTCCTAGTTGTTAAGGGTGGATCGTTTTAGAGACGCCGTCCTATTTAAAATATATCTACCAGCGTGTGTTTGTTTGTGAAACTAACCCTTAAGTGTACCTAATTTTGGGAACGTCAACCTGTAGGAGTGGAATCTACTAATTATCTGAAGTGCATGTTCATCTTCATTACTGTAATGTACATGACATCCATGGAGTCGGGTCGAATCGAGATTCTTACGCTTTGCAATCTAAATTTATTTTCTTACAATAATCGCCATTTTGTTTATCGGCCGGTCTTCAGTTTGTAACAATTTTGACGTATTCTTTCCAATCTATCACTGAAATAAGTGGGCACATTGAGTCCCCTTCGTTATGTTTAAGCTCACACAACAAAAAATAGCAAAAAATAAATCGTTCATAAATCATTATAGGTACATGAATTTTTGTAATCCCGTCCACTACTATATTAAAAATGAAAAAAAAATTATAAATCCATTGTCTGTTTTTGTTTCTGCAATAATTAAATCCATTTTATTTTATAGCAGATGTTAAATTGACATTTTAATAGGTTAGAATGAGTAGCCTAGCTGCCTCTTTAACAGTGAGGGTAGATCCGAAACAAATCATTGTGCATTCCTATGACATGTGTTCTTCTTATGGGACAAGGAGCCCGAAGTAAATGAAAGTTATAACAGAATATAATATTGTTTCCATGGAAACGACAGCAGAACCTAAGCTTGCTATTTTGGACGTTTAAATTACATTCCTACAGAATTTGTATGCCTTCTACTATAAAATTTTGCGTTATACACCACGATAAAGTTAAACTAACGATCTTGTGAAAGTTATGTTTCACTCGATGGATAAAACATCCATCTTAGATACACAGACCAAATAGTTAGGGGCGTAGGCAAGGGTAGTTATGTAGAAATGAAAATATTCGCGCAGGATAGGAAAGGGTGGTGGTCCAACTAATCCTAGGACTTTGGACTCGTTTTTACTTCATCAAATGCTACGTTGAAATTATACGAAAAGCATTATATGGACTAGAAACCAATTTCGAAAGAAAATTCAAAGGGCTGTAACTTTTGAACTCGTAGCCCAATCTTGGAACTGTTTGAAATTATGGATTCTACAGGCCACATTCTATAAGAAAAACTTTTTTCCGGGTCGATCTTTGACAATTTTTTTTCGGGGCTCAAAAAAGGCAGTGTATAACCTTACTTTTTTACAAAAAATCGACTACACCAGAATTTCTCGGGAAAACACTTTTTCTTATTAATTTTGGTGCGTAGAATCCAAAACAATTCGCACTTTTTCGATCGGACTTCTCAATCAAAAGTATAAACTGCATAATGGTAAAAATACCAATTAACTAAGAAAAAATTAGTATATTATTGATTTGGGATTCAACAGGACCTATAAATTATGTTTTATAAAAAAGTTAGTTTAAAAAAAACAAGAAGTTAACAATGATGTAAAACAATATTGTGACGTGAAACGATCAATTATGGGAAACAAACACGGCGTAAAAGCGTCAATATTAATTAGAGCAAGCAGCAATGTTACACCCACATGAAACAGGATTGAATGATGAGGCTGACGGCAGTCTTAATGAGAAAACTACCCCACGATGCTACCATAAAGAAATATTGTAATATTAATTAGGTATCGGAAAATAAGGCATGGCTCAAACTTTGTCAGTAACCTCCATCAATCATCAGAGAACTGCGTAATGATGTAGCATTTTTCCATCAGCTCCATTCAATTACGCGCACCCCGCATTTCTAATTAATGATCGCTTTGAACGTGTATCAACCCCTTCGTCTACTTTCTTAATAATCGCGTCTAATTAAACTGTGTGCTGCCGAAGTAATTTTAATTCAATAAAAATGCGCTACTGTGGTTAATAAAAATTGATATGTATTTCCATGCACACCTGTAGGTATTGGAAAAGTTACATCCGGCCGGTGGAACGCGAGGATTTTTGCGCCTGTGCCGCCCTCAATGGCAACCCCTTGCACTATCTATCACTCAGTTACGGGTGATCTTTTAGCAGGTCACCTCTTACCCGCTACTTTTACCGTTAACGTATCGGGAATAAGAAGTAAATTAATTACGGCCGGGCGCATAATTAATTTACGTTATTACGATTTAATGGAACCCCAATTTTTCATTTTGTGATTATTCGCCGATCATACTTTTGTACAGGTATCGTTAATTAAGTGATGGTGATTGTGCAATTGTGTATTAAATTGTTTACGAACGACCTCCCCGAAAAAAAGGGAGAATTTGCGGATGACGTACGAGGTCGCCCACGATTTTCCTTCTTTGGAACTTGTTGATTCCGGACGCCTTGAGAGTTTCCTTGGAAATTCGATTGTCGTCAAGGGATTCACGTTTGAGCGCGATGAATTTTTAATTATCTTATTAATCTAGTAATTATCTGCGTTGAAGAGATTCTTCATTAATATTAATCAACGTTGCGATTAAGGGGGTTGTTGACTTGACTGACGTAAAAAAATAATTATTCATTAAATTTACATTCGTTTTGCATGCAAGGTGATTAAAAAATCCTTTACACAAACAAAGTTAATATTCGCGAAGCTTAAACATTTATAATATACATAAAAAGACACGTTTGATGGGAGAACCTTTCATCTTTTTTAGTTTAGCAATAACTACAATTT